AACAGCCCTTTTTATCGTCCAACGATCTATGCAAAGGTCCATTGATATCTCCAATGAAGATATCCCCTTACTTAATAACTTTGTCATTTTCTGTTTTTCAGCATTTGTTAGGCCAGTGCTTCTCAAACTATCTAATATGGCGGACCAGTATTTTTTCTCAATGTGTCACGTACCTGTAATATTTCGCGGTAATATTAATTTATACCGGAAACAATATATATAATGAATATAATAAAAGTTGACTATTTTTTATCTTCCATTTACTTTGCAAAAAATAATTCCATATCAAAACATAAAAAGTAATAAAAACATAAGCAATTTATTAACACAAATACAAAAATTATACAACCTTAATCTTTACAAATGATTCCTTAGTATGGTCTGGACACTGGCCGCGTACCGGTAACTGATGGTTCGCGTACCGGCACCGGTCAGTGGACCACCATTTTGAGTAACACTGTGTTAGATCTTTTTCATTATCCATGTTTCAGCATATATTATGGAAAGAAAGAAAAATAGCAATTTTTAGATTTCAGGAGCCTTAAACTAATATTAGTTTAATCCGCATAATAACATCCGACTGCAGCTTTTTTAAAAATAATAAATCCACTAAATTTAATAAAACATGTTGAAACTAAATAGATTTAACTCAACCTTTGTTTTGACGTCTAAATTAATCGTTTAAGATTACGTATTGGGATGGCCAAGGACACATTCCAAAAGCTGGGCAGAGTATTGCGAAACAGAAGGATTTCTTTGGTAACAAAGAAAAGAATACTGAACTGTTACGTGACGTCAGTCCTTCTTTATGATTTCCTCAAAGATGAAGAAGAGACTCGAGGCGACAGAGATATGGTTCTACAGAAGGATGCTAAGGATATCATGGACCGAGGGTGTAAGCAACGATGAGGTTTTAGAGAGGATGCAAACAAGGAGGAGGCTTATACTTAACACCAGCAAGAGGCAGCTGAAGTTTCTGGGACATATAATAAGGAAGGAAGTCCTGGAGAATCTGATACTCACGGGTCGAATAGAGGGAAAGAGAGACAAGAAAAAGCAGCACGCGACATACCTGGCGAGCTTGAGCAGGTGGATGACAGAACGTGGTCTGGGGGAGGAAGCAGAGGGCAGGAACTTGTTGAGAGCTGCAAAAGATAGGTGGAGAGCCAGGATCGCCTTCGTCCTGAAAAGACATGGCACATAAAAAGAAAAGAAACATTTTTCAAAGCAAATTTGATTTGCATAATAAATTCAGACGGACTGTAGTTGTTTCTCACTGGAGACTAGAAGACTAGGAAACGGGAAATCTAAAAAATATTCATAAAGTCTGGAGTCTTCAATATTTAACAAAGCCGTGAACTAAATTGTTGTCTTCTTTCTTTCATCATCAGTTATTTATATTTTTCTGTCTCATTTCCTGTAGTTGAAAATCCTGAACAGTCGATGTTTGATTTTGTTCAGTTGTTAATATTCCACTCAGGAATATACACCGGTTTCGCGTACCACTATTTGCTCTTTGGTAATCATCAGTGGGTACCAAGAAATGGCAGATTATCACAAATCTCCCAATGGGAATCAAGAGATGGCAATAACCATAACTAAAGCCTGTTCAACATAGTTGCAGTATAAACCACTAAACAAAAATAAAATGTGTTCCGAGCATGTGTCTGCGACAGGGATTATCTAGCCACCTGAGCAGACGGGTGTGCTCAGAAAATGATAACCAATACACACACACACAAATATATATATATATATATATATATATATATATATATATATATATATATATATATATATATATGTAGTGAACAAAACAACATCTAGATATAAAATTCAAATGCTAAGCATTGACTCATTGATTTTGTTAGAAATGGTTATGGTCCGATTCCTCAGTACCACGGTGATAGTCCAAGGTAGAACCAATAGAGAAGAACTCGAACATGGATATGGAATAACACAGATATATTATAAACAGGAATATATACAGAGAAGTAGAAAGTGTTAGTACGAACAATCAGGTTTAGTAGAGAGAACAATGTAGTCTCGACCAGTATCACTATTCCAATGTCTTGTAGTAATTGTCTGAAGGCGACTCTGTTTCAGTCTTACTCTGACTCGACTGACTGACTCGCTCGCTCTGACTGACTGACTCCTGACGGACTTCACTCCAGACTTCAGACTGAACAGTATTTAGTCACCCCCCAACGAGGGTATCATGTGGCATAAGGCCGGTTTAACGTAGGATCTCCGAGCCCGTGGGCTCGGCCAAAAATATGCCCTTTGAACCCGTATAAACGGGTTCAGAGCCGGTTTACCTCCCAGAAAGAGACTCCGCCCTTCGGCGTAGCCTCGTTCGGGTTCCTCCCCGCCCGAAGGCAGAGAGTTCAACCGATCAGCCCGACTTCAGGCTGAACTCCTTGCTTCCTCTTGATGCGCAGTATTTATTACGTATGGAATAGTCCATTATGTTATTATGGGTAAGGTCTCATAACAGAAATTTAAAAAAACTCGAATTTACAAATTTACTTAACACACATGCAAAAACGAATCCAAAACAAAACTCGTAAAATTTCACACCTTGATGCGAAATGTTTTTCGGCCAATAGAAAACTAGGAAACATTTAAAAACAAAATTCAAATAATCTTCAATTCTCAGAAATACATTCTTTCACGGACCTTTTCGCGAGCCGACGCAAAAATTTGTTCAACGTCCAATGAAAAGGCCTGAATCATATCCGTGAGTGAATTCCAAAATGACTTTTTTAAGCCCCAAAAACTAAATAAAAGACGGGCAAGTTCGCTTGTCACCAGAGAAGAGGAGGCGAGCGTATTAACAAGTCCCTTGACAACGTCAAGCGAGCGTTATTATTATCTCTACACTTGTTACTCACCTCTTTCATACTTGATAAACTAAAGGAACATTTAAGACTGAGCGATTACTTCAAATACATTCCTACCTTTCGATAACGCTCATACATACATACATCCACACATACGTTCCTGCCTACATAAACCCATTCTTGCAAGGACAACTACGAACATTTTGACGACTTTGTATCAACTAAAATGCATTAATTTTATTTGTAAAGATATTAATTGATTTATATGTGTATAAATTTTTTGTTCACTTTACAATTTGATTTTCTTGTTTTATATCCTCTTATGGTGGGCTATCTAACTAACAAGGCCAAATCAAACTACTAACCTGTTTCCACACTCATACACTTCACTATAACTGATAACCCACTATCTATCTATCTATCTATCTATCTATCTATCTATCTATCTATACACCGGGGTTGAATAAGACTGACGTAGTTGTTGTCATCGGTTGAACGAGATCTATACCCCGCTCATGTGAGGTAATTTTGGATTTTGTTGTGTGATTGATATTTTCTGTTATAATAAATGCATTGAGCTCTTTTTGTGGATCAGGTTTTAATATTTGATATTACTAGGATCCACTTGGATTATATACCAACAGATTTATATATATATATATATATATATATATATATATATATATATATATATTCAAACGATATTATAATCGATATTTTGCATCTGAAATAGAGGTTCCATTTTTATTTATTAAACAGTGATCTAATGTGTCTGTCGTCGGCCAGCACGTTTGAGAAATCCTAGTAGAGAAAATGGATTTCTGGGAAGAGATCGAATTTGCATCCACCTTTGATCGAGAATGTTTGAACGCTCGTCCCCGAAGTATGTCGTAGCAAGCAAGGTTTTATTTTTTCCCTTTTTAAAGAAAGCACACCCCCTTTAGCCAGATTATTTCCTCAAAAGCTTTTGCATCCGAAATGCAAACAAAGCAATTAATAAAGAATTAATAGATTTATTTTTAATCTGATATTTTTATAACTTCAAACGGTATTATAGTGGATACTTCGTTATTTGAAATAGACGTCCCATATAAATAAGGTTTTAAGGTATATATACAGACATATATATTATGAAATAGACAAAGTCCGACAATTATTTTAAGACATTTTTATGTTTTTACATTTTTTTTTATAGATACAAATATTTAAGTAAATGCTCTGTTTTTATAATAAACAGTATTAAACAACATTTACCGGCCTGAATGTCCGAGAAATTTTCATAGAAAATATTCGTCCTCCGACAGGAATCGAACCTGTATCCTATACGGAACCGTCATATAGCCTGACGTTCCTTTAAGAGATTTGGCCACAGAGGAGCGTTGTTTAATGCTGTTTATTATAAAAAACAGAGCATTTACTTAAATATTTATATCTATAAAAAGAATGTATAAACATAAAAATGTCTTAAAATACACACACATACACACACACACACACACACATATATATATATATATATACCTTGAAACTATATTTCTTCATATATATATATATATATATTGTGTATATTTAGGCAGCAATTTTTCATTAATGCATGTTTTATTAGATAATATAGACAAGTTTTGTCTATTTATTTTAAGTAAGTTCCTTTCATATTGTCTGATAAACTTAATCACATTATCGTTGAAAGACGAAAGGAAAACGCCATATTGTTACATGTTTAAATCCAATGTAAGCTTTCGGCTTACATAAGCCATTATCAAAGATGACAATTTCAATAAATCAAACAACACACGGACGAAACAACATACGAGTTTGTCGTTACTTTGAAATTTTTCATGCAACAAGGGCGGACTATCATTGTTGTTTCGCCCGTGTGTTGTTTGATTTATTGAAATTGTCATATTTGATTTCTATTTTATTTATTCTTTTCAGTTTTCGATTATAGATAGATAGATAGATAGATAGATAGAGAGAGAGAGAGAGAGAGAGAGAGAGAGAGAGAGAGAACAAGAATGAATGGTGCACTGAAATTTTTTGAAGCGATTTCTCATAATTTGGAAAATATACTCCTGGTTTCGACCAAGAACTTTCCAGCACCTCCACATATATTCAGCTACGACTACGAACGCGTATTTCTAAAGCCAAACACGCGTC